CACTCCTCTTCCTCCTTCGTTCTTCGTCGAACCCGTCGAGCTCCTCTGCCTCCTCCGATCCACAAACACAGAGAGAGGGAGAGAGCCAAATCTTCATATACCCATGCCGAAGTTCACCCGCTCGTCTGCCCTAGCCGACGTCCCTTCCTTTAGGATCGAAATTTACCACATTTTGATCGGGAGTTGTAACATGAGCTCTTTGAAGGTAACTATCTCCTGTTCGCATGGTTATCCGGCCAAATCCCTTAAAACAGAGAATTAAACTCTCTGTTAACAGAGAGTTTAATTTTTTGTTAATCCTACTTAAACTCTAACAGAGTTCAATTTAACTAAATTATAATTAATTAAGTTTAATTATAGTTAATTATTTTTTAATTTTGATTAATTATTGTTAATTATAAATTAGTTATAATTTAATTTAATTTGATTATAATTATTTTTTTTTAATTAGAATTAATTAATTATCATTAATTAATTAAGCAAAATTAATTAAGTTTAATTATGCTAAATTTTTTAATTATAATTAATTACTAATTAATCATATTAATTATAATTAATTAAATTCAATTATAGTTAATTATTAATAATTTTTTTAATCATTATTAACCATAATTAATTATAATTAATTTTAAAAGAGAAGAAAATGCTCCCCCATACTCCTTCCTTAGTGTTTGTGTCGGACCGGCAAACCACCTAAGCACGCCTTTGGTGAGCGTGGTAGGAGGGAACCCGGTACGACACCTACGACGAGGTAGGAGAGTGACCACTCGATCCACATGCCAACCACGACAACCCCGCGAAGGTATGAAATTTTCTAAACTCTAAACTATGCTTCATTGTTCGTGGCGAATCGAAAAATTGCCCCAAGCACGCCTTTAGTGCGCGTGGTGGGATGGGACCCCGGTGCGGCACCTACGGCAAGGCGGGGTCGCTCATAAGTATATCCGAGCGGGGGGAAATCAAAATTGCTTTTCAAAAATGCTTTTTAAAACCCCATGCATGCCTTTGGTGGCGTGGTGGGAGAAAACAAAATACAATCGCCGTGGTGTCTCACCAACACCAACCGTACACGTCTTTAGTGACGTGGAGGGTAGGAGGCCTCTTGGTTTTTTCCCCTTAACAGAGGGGACGTCGGGAGGCTGCCGAAATTTTGTCGGAAATATAGATAAGGACTTGGAGCAAATTGGGACTTGTGGACTTGATTCAATCTACTTAAATGAACTTGAACCCAAATGAATTCAATTTTAAATGAATATGAACTTGGACTCTCATTTGAACATGAACAAGAATTCATTTTGAGCTCGAACAAACTCAATGGGCAACATGGGACATGCATTTGAACAAGGAGCTCACACTTGAACTTGCAAGGTGAACTTTGACATTGAACTCAAAACTTGTGGACATCGAACTTGAACAAGACATGGACCCAAGAGAACTTGATTGAACTCATATTAAACTCGGACTTGAACTCTACAAGACAGCAGGGGACTACTTGAACTCAAATGAGTTGAACAAAGAACTAGAACTTGTACTCAAACTTGGACTCTAATTTGAGCAAACATGAAGAACCTTCACTTGAATTGAATATCAATCAAACTTGTAAATATAGGACTTGAGCTTGAATGAACTTTAAAGAGCTAAACTCATAATGACATGAAATTTGAAATGAACAAGGATCAAATAATTGAGAACTTGACATTGGATAGATGAATGTCAAAGTGCAAGTAGAGGTTTGTAAGTAACATCAGTAAAATGCTGAATATCATTGGTGATGAGCAAAACTCCAAAGTTGAACTTCATGCAAATAACATCTATGTCAATCATACAATCAAACCTGCAAGCAACGACAATCAACATGTATGAAGAAGTGAATGAATGCAACTAAGTTACCATACAAACACATATATCCCTTGCAAACAGAAGGTGATTGATTGGCACATCAAGTGCAAATACCTACGAATATGAGATGACCACATTAAAGTGTAAATTCCTACAAGCTACTACAAGGGAACTCTTCGCTCTTATAATGATCCTATCTATAAACAACGATAGTGAATGCATCACTGGTGTGGTGCATCCTTTATAGGAAAAAAGATAAAAGATTGTGGTGAATACAAGGATCTACTATTTGTGATGGAAAATGCATCTCATGCACAATAATATACATAGGCGGGTGATTATCAATAGATGTAGATGTCATAGTACTCCTATAATCAATCACCACTCAACGTCCAATAAATCTATCACACTCCTTTGCATGTATAGCTACATACGCTGTGTATTATGCATCGATAGTATGGGAGATCTTCTACAAATAAGAGATTGAAGATGGTAATGAATACGAATGATCATTATTAATGATGAGGGAGTCACCACATACACAAGAATGCTTCTACGGGTGATGATCTATAACGAATAGTAAAAGGCTAAAGTCTCTTTATAGCTGACAACCATATAGTTGAGGTTAACACACTGGCCCGCTACAAGAAGGGGTGGGACACATTCAGCAAAAGCAATCACCTATAGGCTGTCGTATGATACTTGTTATACATACCATCACCTAATTAATACAGAAGACTTCCAGCGGTCGTCATCATTTGTAATAAATGCAGGAGATTAGTTAGTGCACTATGATCCACCTACTGAAAGTAAATAGTGCACAACAGTCTACTTATACGAAGCAGCAAACCACTGATCCAGAAGCTGCTACAATACGCCTCCGGATCTGCAACATTCGTACAAGCAGACAGAAGGTGTCCACAAACTACAACGCCAGGCCACTGGATCCGCAACTCCTATGCAAGCGGACAGAAGGCGTCTATGAATACTTTCAAAGTACCCCCGCACATGCACCGTAGTTTGTATACACATAGGTACACTAAAGGGGAAAATATAATCTCAATCCGCATGGGCCCCGGCGAGCGTGTTATTGGTATACACGTGACGTCTAGGGATGCTGCGCGGGTTATCAAATTTTGAACCCGATCCTCTTAAGCAAGTAAGTAGGAGTCGACAAGGTTCAATAAATAATTATGAAATTCCCAAACACCCGCATAGGCCCCGACGAGCGTGTTATTAGTACACACGTGTCCGTCTAGGGATGTTGCGCGAGTCACTAAGTGAATTCTTGTTCGAACCCGATCCTCCTATGCGGATCAATAGGAGTCGACAAGGTTCGAACCTTTAAATAAATACCGGTTGTGGCAACCGGTGTATTTGTTTTAATACATTAATATTAGGCCTTCAAGGTCTACAATCAAGAGAATTCACTAACAAGGGTACAAAGCCTACGAAACCTGATCCTCGATCAACACTTCGGTTGAGTTGACAGTGTTCAATCAACCAAGGAAAATGACCCCAAACACCCTGATGATGGCCGTGTTGAATGCATATCTCAACCAGAGGGGTTTACAAATATTTTCCAAATGTCTCCCAAAAGTCCACACAAAATCCCAAATTCTAAAAATATTTAAAATTGAAATAAACCCATCAATGCTTAAAGAAAAATCCATCCATCCTCTACAATAGTTTGCCGAGGTGGATGCATTTAAATATAACTTCAGATTACAAAGAGCCAAATGCCTGGTCAAAAATATCACTATGATCTATTCTCAAAACAGTCTCCTGCTAGTAAGGACGTGGTACATGTCCTCTAACCGGCGATTCGTAGCCAAATGGCACCGCAGGATAAACGGTTATGACCCAGGGCCCTCTGAATCGAGTGATTTTGCCGCCAAATGGCACCACGAAATACTGATTATGGCCAGCGCCGTTACGTTCCTTATTGGCATCAAATCCTTGAGATATGAATCAATAGGATATGATCGATAGGGCACAAAGCCCTCTGTTAGCTAAGGTGGATTCAAAATTTGTCCCGTTAGACAAACATGTAACCCCGGTCTACAAGGTACCCTTGGACAAAGCAACCCATGGCTGCCGATAAGGATCCTTCTGTCAGGTTTGGTCGACTACCTCCTCTGACTAAGTATACCAGGGACCACGATGGCCCGGGACGACGGAACCATGGGATCTTGATCAGGTCCATCATCCATTCCCCCACCATCCGCTTTAAGTGCAAGATGGTGAAATTTCTAATTTTAAATATCAAATTTCCCAAATATTTCAACCCAAATTCTCAAATCCAACATTCTCAAATTCCCATACCTATGCTGCCACTATATGCCAGATAACACGTATTATATACGTATCTGATTGACGACTAGCCTTAATCGAAAGTTCTCTCTCATTATTAGGAGGGGTAATTAACTATAGGGGCTTGCGCCTATAGGAAACCAGAACTCATATCACAAAGTCCTCACAAAATGAGGGCGAAATCTCTAGGTAGTGTCTTATCTACAAACCCATCTACCTTCCAAAATTTACCTCGGAACTTATCAGTTAAAACTCCCTCGCCAAATAAAAGAGAAGTGCGGGCGGAGGCCAGGGCCGAATTTTCGGAGCCCACACCAGCTTTCTAAGCTGACTTCATCTTTTTGGCATCCCCTTCCACCCGGATGAATTAAGGTTAACATTGATGCAACTTTTTTTCATTCTAATGATGGTGGTGTAGTGGTATCTTCAGAGACCATAGAGGGAGATTTTTATTGACTTTTGGGTTTAAGTGTTTGCATTGGAATACTAGTTATTTGGAATTATTGACTTCTTGTTCTTTGAAGAAGATAATCAAGGATTGGATGTTGGATGCTAAAGGAATTATTATATGAGATAATTTGAACATCATCATGTATCTTCAAAATTCGGTTGCAAAACATGGTTTTTTACCTAGTAAAGCCAGATTCGAAGATTTGAATTCTAATAAGGTTCCTCCATTTTTTTCCTCTTTGTTAAAGAAGGAAAGTGATAGATTTTCTATCACTTAGTAGTTTGTATTAGATTCCTTTTATATGAATGCGATCTGCAGTTTTTCGGGATAAAAAAAAAGACTACCGTAAAGAAAATGATTTTCAAGCATAGTTGTGATAAATAGAACCCAACTCCCATAACAAAATGCGTATAAATACCTAGCAGCATGGATTAATACAAATAAGTTTTACATAAGCAGATTATAAGAACATTTTTTCTTTGCCTAGTTAACAAAAGGCTGTTGAAGTCAATCGCAGAAAGGAGAAAAAAACAAAAGAAAAGAAAGAAAGGTTCTACAAAGACTTATATATACAGAAGTCATCTGCATCACGAATTCTGAAGTTAATGAATAAATTTTCGAGAGAGAAAGTTGAATAGCGTTTTTATTATCGTCGTTGGAAGTTGAAAACTTTAATTGAGAAGGCAAACACGAAGGCAAATAGCACAGTAAACCCAATCATTGCAGCAGCTATTGCTCCCAAGAAGTCATGCCTGAATCCAAAGTATTCCTTAATAAACTCCCGTACAGTAACATCACCGTCTGTCATTTTGTCCTGATCATAGTCTCCAAACTGCGAAGCAACAAGTCCATACAAAGTCCAAGCAACTGGGCATGCCCAGGAGTACCATCTCCACCACACAGGAATCCTCTGCAAGTTTGACAGAAAAAACTTTACTAATCTAGAGTTCAGATGTGATGATATACTCAAGATAGAGGCATTTAGGTTGTCAAACCAAACTTACAGGTCGAGGGATTAGATAGCCTGCAAAAATGTTCCATACTGCATAAAATGCTGTGGAGACTATGGCAGCAATGTCACTGTTGGGTGTCATGGCCACTGCCATCATGCCGTAGAATGTGAAGTACAGGAAGGTCGTGAACATGAAGAACAAATACCAAAAAAACTTCACTGCTGTCCAGTCGAAGGAGATGCAGCTGTAAACGATCAGCCCATAAATTAAAGCCTGTAGGAAAATGTGTGGAATCTCTATAAGGACCTGCATTCATCAGTAAAGGGAAGGGGTTAATACATATAACTGAGATTTTAAAGCAGCATTGCTTTCGTTTTAAAATCATTGTACATACCTGTGCGAAAGCGTAAGGTAAAGCAGAATACATTCCTGCTGCCTTCTCCCTATAGAAAACTGATCGTTCAACATCTACAATTGGTTGCACAGTTTGCCCATTTTGGATTCCAATGAATAGCACAGCTGCATACATTGAGCCTAAAGAATTGAACAGGTCTTGCTGTTTCTCCCTGCAAGATTAATTGATAAAGTTCGCATTTTTTAATTCTAGTAGAAAGGTGTGAAAATATATGATGGATTTATATGAGAATTTTTCATTCAAACTTACACTTTTTTTCCAAGTTTCCAGAAAATAGTTCCAAATATGAGAGCAATGACTGAGGTGAAGAAGATTCTTGTAGCTGTGTAAGATGGATTGCGCCAATACGACTTGTGCTGCTTCCATAGGCAAGCCTCGCACTGAGTCAAGAATGGCTGAGAGTATTTGGTTGGGAAGAAAAGGTCCTCTGAGCCAGGAGGTGGAGTGCTTAGCTCACTGATCAATGCTTTGTTTCTCCTGCAATGAGTTAAAATCTCATGTTAGGCTAAATCTAAAGTTAGTTTTTTTTTTTTCCTGCCAAATTACCATTCTACCATTCTAAGCTATAAGAGTTAACTGTAGATGTGCTCACCTGAAGAGGTCAGAGTCCTTGTACTTTTCAGCAAAATTAATACCGTAAATTTCCTCTTGTGCCTGGGTAGTGACCTCCAACATCCATGTTGCTGGGTTGTAGCCATCTTTAATTTTCCTGACGCCAAATTCCTGAAGAATAAGAAAGAAAGTGTGATCTTAGTTACATATTTTCTAAGCTTTTGGTGTTTATAGACATTACCACTCCACTAAAGCTGATACTGACCTCAAAGTACTTAATTAAATGACAAGAATTGCGGCCCAGCGGGCCAACATAAATCTCCTCTCCGCCACGTTTCATAAGGAAAAGCTAAAATTGAGAGGGATAAATTATGAGTATCTTAGTATTCAAGTAAATTTTTTAGAAGCTCTACTCATTAGCCCGGAAAGTACCTCATCAAAAGCTTCAAAGATATCAATGCTTGGTTGGTGTATTGTACACACCACAGTCCTACCAGTGTCCACTGTGTTCCTGACTGTTCTCATCACAATGGCTGCTGCTCTAGCATCAAGCCCAGAGGTTGGTTCATCCATAAATATTATTGAAGGGTTGGCAACGAGCTCTACTGCAATTGTTAACCTCTTTCGCTGCTCAGTTGATAAACCATTCACTCCAGGTAATCCTACTAGTGCTCCCCTCAGTGTTTTTAGCTCCACAAGTTCCATGACCTCCTCAATGAACAACTGCAGTGATTAATTTCTAGAATTTAGTCCCAAACCAAAGGAAACAGACTTTCTTTGGAGTTCCAAGTAGAATATATTACTCAACTAACCTTTCTTGTTGTAGCATCAACTTCAGAGGTTAGACGTAGCCAGGCTGAGTAAAGAAGCGATTCATAAACGGTAACATGTGGAGAGTGGATATCATTTTGTTCACAATATCCAGAAATCCTAGCAAATGTCTCTTGCACCTTGGGATGTCCTGATATACGGATATCTCCATCTATATAACCACCAGTTTTCCTTCCAGCAAGAACATCCATAAGAGTTGTCTTGCCTGCTCCGCTTACCCCCATCAAAGCTGTGAGAACTCCTGGCCTGAATGCTCCACTAACACCTTTCAGTAGGACCAAACGGTCCTCAACTATCCCTTGGTCTTTCATTTCCTATCAAGAATATATAAAAGGATGATTAACATTTTGTTTCAAGGAGCATAAAATATTAGGTCCATAAGACTTAAAATACCTGAGGCATGTCCACGGAATACCTAATGTTGTCAAAGGTAATTGAAAGTGGAGCAAATGGGAGCATTATTCCACGATTTTCATTTTCTTTTGAAATCCTTTCTGTAAGAAATTTAAATGTTTCAAGCAGATTGGAACTATTGATTATAGTGAGAGTAAAATATCTTTACGCACAGTTATTATAGTTATTACCTTCACCTGTACTTGGTGGCAATAACTGAGCTTTTGAAGGTAGTTCGATGGATGCACCTGTTCTATTAGCATGCTTCTCTCTCAATACCTCTTCAGAAATGGTTGTCTGACCTTTGCCAAGTGCTGCAGGATTTAATCAGCTTAGAACTAGAATATTCCGAAGTTTTACAAGATGAAGCTTATGCATTTGATACTTACGGTCAAGCCAATCAAGAAAGAAAACAAAGAGGACATTAAACAGGAAGATGTATCCGAGAAGTGCCCCTACACCTATCCAGTACCAGTTGGCATCAACAAAGATCCCACGATACTTCAAGATCTCAATTCCCAGAGTATTATTAAATCCAGGGACATGCTGCGTAACAAAGAAATTTAAGGATATTCGCCTAAGAAAAGCAGAAGAATTGACCCTGGCTTGAGAAAACTGTTTATACCTTATTCCAACTATGCCCAAGAAATTCATTAACGGCAATTGCATTCTGTGCATACATCAAAGGAGAGGACCAGTAACCCCATATCCACCATTTCTTAATGTTTTCTGCAAGAAATTTCTCTCACTCAAAACAAAGTTGTAATAGAAATTGTGGCAGTATATTTAGTCCATAAAAATTGCCTCACCTCGTGAAATAAGAAATCCCCCAAGGATCAAAAGTACAATCTGTGCAAAAGACCCAAAAGTATCGGCAACAACCATTTCCCTTCCAAGAGCTGCAAGGAGCCGAAAGAGTCCTGATGCCATCTGACTGATTAGAACAAGCAGCAGATAATGCTTGAAGAACCTGTAAAACAGTTATTTGATTAGGAATTAGTGCTGAGAATCTTACACAAAACCTATAAATATCACATATTGATGATTTTAGAAAGTCATCCTGTTTATTCTAACCTGTTGATATTTGGATCAAAACCAATGACATAGTAAGTCATACAAATCCAGACAGCACACTCCAGAAATGAAATTGGTATCTTGAGGACCCATGTAGGTAGTGCATAAGCCCATGAGGGATAAAAGAGTAGGTCTCTTTGCTTATAAAATATAGGAAGTTTTGCGATGCTCATTGCAAGTTCGGCAAATCCATTAAACAGATGAGTGACAAGACCAAGAAACATTGCACCCAAGAAGATGACTCCATCCTCTATCCCCTCACGATGCATCTTTGTACGCAGGAAGACCGTCATTGAAATTAAACCAAGAATGATAAGCTGTAGTAGATGGAGAAAAACAAGTTAGCACTGCTTATGAATCAAGTACTTCAATGATTGCTAGTTTAGGTTTCTGGTTTGTCTACACACTTGGACTACTTTGAAGATGTAGACAAAAGAGTTTCTCTTCATCAGAAGCCATTCCCGTGAGGTGCACACTTTGAGGAGCTCCATTTTACTAATGCCATACTTCGAAGTTGTCAATGCTGCAGGGTGGTTCCTACTCCTATCAAATGAAGTACCGAGTTCTGTTCGTAGCTTGAGGCCGACATGGAAGGCCTGAAAAGCTTCAGAAAATTCATTGACAGAAATATAAGAGTATGGCTCGTCTTTGTGTGCCCAGTACTGATGTTGATCCTTTCTAGAAGTCACCTATTGATGTGTAAAAAGAGATTTTATTGTAGAATCAGTCTATTGATAAGAAAACATAATATCAATCTACTACTTACTTCTTGCAGAAAGTCTGCAACTCCTTTCCTTTCAGGACACTTGAAACCCATTAAATCAAAGAACTCTAAAACATGCTCTCTTGGGCCCTGGTACACTATCTGCCCTTCAGATAGAAGTATGATATCGTCAAAGAGTTCATAGGTTTCAGGTGCAGGTTGGAGCAATGCAATAACTGCCGTCCCGCCAAGGATGTGAACAGATTGCCTGAGGGAATTCACTATCTGGTATGTGGTGGAACTATCAAGACCCGTCGAAATTTCATCCATGAAAAGTGCTTTTGCTGGCCCGACAAGCATTTCACCTGCACAGAATTTTGAACACAGCAGCATAAATGAGTAGTGCTAAAATGAGAGTCATTTTAGAATCAACAATTATAATGACTTCTAATTTTTGCTTTATGTTATTCTGAAATGGTACTAGACCCCATTGGCAACATACCAGTAGTAACACGCTTCTTTTGTCCACCTGAAATGCCTCTTATCATTGCATCTCCAACCATGGTATCAGCACAAACCTCCAGGCCTAAAATCTTATGAAAGTAGAAATAACAACACTAATAAGACTTGCTTCCTTAATAGAAGTTTAATTAGAACAAGAAAATGATTTCTGCATTTTAGGCTTACCTTCAGAATGTAATCTGTAATCACATTTTCCTGTCCTTCCACTGATATGGCCTATTGTCGTAAAAATTTCATAAGTAAACTTCTCCAATTTGTAAATTTTCTTTGCTCTAATTATTAGTTCAAGTATCAACCATTAAATTTCATGTAACGAAAAATGAATGAAGTTTCTTCCTGTACTAACCTTCATGTAGACATCAATTTCTGCATCTGGTTTGATGTTTGCTTCCTTCTCTCTTTTTGATAGCTCAGTCAGCATATCTGCAAATCATTTGGAAGAAAAACAACTGAGTTCCAAGTCCCTCCAGATCTCATTGAGGACTTTTAAAAACTGAACTTTCTAGCTAGATTACCATAACGAGTTCCCACTCCTTGGCATCTTGCTGAAAAAGACAAGGTTTCTCTCACTGTCATCTCTCCAATGTGTATGTCGTTCTGACTAATATAAGCAGAAGTCCTCTGAGGTACAAATTCATCCATGTGGTGACCATTGTAAGTTACCTCACCTGAAACCTGATGAAATTGAGGAAAATACTAATTTTAGTTTCTTTCCCTTCAAACATAATTTCCTATTGTAATCAAGGATTCAATTAGTTAAAATGACTTTTGCTTAACGGGAAAAAACAGCTGAATGATCTGGCACGATATGGAATGCAAATGAAACACGATGCAAACCAGATCATGCAATATCATTTTCGGTCAAATCCAGTTCTCTCACCAATGCCTATCAAATAATATTTACTGAACTCTGCAATTTTTTTTTTTTTTTCAAATTAGGTTAAAGAATTTAGAGAAAGTTTCAGTATGTACCTTCAGAGTTGAATCAAGCTTTCCGGCTAAAGCCAATAAAAGGCTAGTCTTGCCAGATCCTGGAGGGCCGAGAAGCAAAGACATTCTGTACAACAGAGTTAACTAATCAGACACTTTTGAATAAATAGGTCACACTCCCAGATTTAGACAAGCAAAGGTCTTCTCACCTGCAAGGCTTGACAATCCCGCTGATATCACTAAGGATAGAAATTGGCCTCTTCCCACTTGGCACAATATGCAAAGCGCTCAGTACTCCCTGATATAAACATTTAGCATCAAAAGTAGAACAATTTAATAACATGCCATCATTTTTGGGATAGAATTCTTTTCCGCATTAAAAGTTTTTCATTTGTAAGAAATAGTCTCAACCAAATATTGAGAAATGTTGGTTTATGCAGAAAACTTTTAATCTGAGAACATGGTAAATATATATGCATAAATTGTGATACCAATAAATTCACATGCAACTTTTTTACAGATTTGCACATGAAAATTATTCTCAAGCGTTGATAGATACTTGTTCTTGTAATGCATAAATCTCAACGCAAATGATAGTCAATCTACATATAAATGCTATGAAAATCCATGGTAGAATTCTTTCTTCTTTTTTTATCATCAATATAAACATACACACAAATATTCAACATTCATTGAAAAAAATTCTGAAAATCAAAGGATTGTTCCATTACCGAGATCTTGTTCACAAAAAAGTTGAGGAAAGTTGGAATTCCTCTGTTCCCCACATACGCCTCGGCATCTATGTTAAGATGGTTGAACCGAACCTCAATCGTTGGGTTATCAATTCCAACACTGAAACAAGCAAGTGTAATAATGCTTTAAGAATCCTTAAATAGGCAAAACAATTATTTTTTATTATTTTTTTTCCGTGACTCACCGTTCCATCCGGTCCCTGAGCTTGAGAAGGAACTTCTCATTGTCTTCCTCTGCAGTCCTAACCAGCTTCTCGAGCAAATTCTTCCTCTCTTGGAGTCCAAGATCTTTAACATCCACCTCTTGGGCGCCACCAGCTCCAGTAATAATCCCTCTCCTCATCCGGTCGTAGGTGGGGAGCTTCTCCAGTGCCGCCCATTTCAGAGCCTCCTCGTCGTCCTCCTCCCGGATGGATCTGCCGAAGACGGAGCTCGTTGATCTCCATGTGGAAGCGTTTCGGCTCACACTTCTCATGCTCCCTCTTATGCTTGCCATCTTCAGACTGCTCTCCATCTTGCTTTGCTTTGCTCAAAAGACCCAATCTATCAGATCTTACAAGGAACACAACATCTGCTACTAGTTAACGAAATCTTGAGATGAGAATGCTCGAGTGGAATTAGAGCTTCAGCTTGGAGAGACGCGGAGAAAGTGATTTTATACGCGGACAAGTCGGGGATATGATCAGTTGCATCGGTCTTACCGCGGAGAGCTTCGTCTGCTTTGGCGTGCCACAGTTATGGACCAAGTCTTTTCCCACTTGCCCATCCTATATTGATAACTCGGCCATAGAAATGTCAGAAAAAATGGCTGTTGTATTAAATGTTAGAAGTGGGATTGCTATTGGGAAGTTAGATTTTTTTTTTATATTAAAGTGGGCACGAATTTTTTGATTTAATATTGAATAAAATAAATTTAAATTTTTGATATATCATATTTAAATAATCTATATGATAAAATAAAATTTTAATTAAAAATAATGAATATATTTATTATTATATATAAGATAAAAATTTTAAAATACTTATGTATAGTTGGTATAACAAAAACTATTTTAAAAACTAATATTTCTTTAATTTTTAAATTATTTTGATAAATATTTAATAGCATATCCAAAGAAAGATTTCAAATTAGAATTGTAATAAACGAGCGAGCAAATCATTAATTAGGGTTAGCTTGCTTATACTAAAAATTTTCATATTTCACTTCAGCTCATATAATGTGTACACATTAATATTTGCACTAGCCT